TATATATATTTCATATATATAATTTCATATATAATTTCATATAGAGTTTGCTTTTATCTTATATTTTGTAGACTGATATGAGCTCTGTTGTCGAGGAGGTAAATGACAAACACATGGCCCCTTGGGCAGAAGCATGTCGCAAAGATGGAGTGGAGAATAGTCCTCTGTCTCCGTATATAGATCAAGAACTTCTATATAATAAGCACTTGTATTTACAGCCCGGAAAGTTATGGAACACCACGGGATTCACGTACCTGTACCCTAAATTAACAAAAGATGCTCTTACAGAGGTGAGAATTATCGTTTGTTTCATAAGTTAGTCTCGAAGAAAAGATGCACATACATGTATGTAAAGATGAATGTTCACAAAACTGCTTTCTCCATTTACAGGTACTTAATGATTATGTAAGCATGAGGATTTTTCCACATTCCTTGGTTCTGTGAATTTAGCAATACCGACTGCCGAATTCGAATATCGATTCTCTTTTACACGAAGATACTACAAATATCGGATACGGTACGACGCCGAGCGCCATTTTCACCTTGTGCCTAGAAGGGTTCTATACTAGTTACATATATTCTATTATACACGTTATATACATCTTTACTTGACGTTTTACACGCCAGTAAATATTGCTAAATGAGATTTTAGAAAAATGCATATATATAAAATTTGGATATTTCGTAGACGGCCTATTGCCAATGTGATAAAGTAGCAATTAACGTACTTAATTTTAACATAGTTCTGCAAGTACAGAACATTTTCGCACCTTAAAAATGACTAGTCAAACAGTGACGTTTAAGAATGATTCGGAACAAATTCTTATACACGAAGATAAATATATGTATAAAAATACTTAAACTTTAAGACGTGATCTATGAATCAATTTCGATGAATGTTTTAGAAAATCATTGGTCAAAAAGAATGCTTTTTATATACCATTTTTTCAAGATTGTGAACTGCGTACCAATAGTTGTTGAAAACTTATATATACATATATTACTAGATGCATAACAAGAATTTTTTTTATATTTGCTACATTCCAAGATGTATATCTTCCACACAAAGCTGTGAATCAAGTCTTTCTATTGAATAACTGTTACACATATAATTTTATTATCGACAATTTTCGAGTATGTGCGACCTAAACAATTGTATTAAATTAAGTACAAACACTGTTAGAGGTGCGTTTAGAAGATATTC